CAAAACATTTGCACAGACATTTCACCACAGAAGATTTACAAATGGTGACTCCACCCCGAGGAGATGCTCAGCACCACTTGTCATTAGGGCGACATGGACTCAAACCACAGCTACACTCCTATAGGACGGCGTCATGGGCTGTGTCTCCCTAAATCCATAAATTGACGTCATTAGGGCGACGTGGACTCAAGCCACAGCTACACTCCTATAGGATGGCGTTATGAGCTGTGTCCCCCCTAAATTCATAGTGTGATGCCCTAACCCCTCCGAATGTGACGATGTTTGGAGGTGGGTTTTTAAAGATGTGAGTAAGGTAAAACGAGGTTATTAGGGTGGACCCTAATTCAACAGGACTGGTGTCCTTATGTGAAGAGATTAGGACACACAGATACGCCAAAGGGAAGACTAGTAAGGATACAGGGAGATGTGGCCACCCACAAACCCAGGGAGCGGCCTCAGGAGCTGCTGACAGCTTGATCTCAGACCTCAGCCTCCAGTGCTGAGAGAACATAAATTTCCATTGTTGAAGCCGCCCAAGCTCTGGCAATTTGTTATGGCAGCCTGAGCTAAGACCGATGGCTAGCATAAGAAGACAAAGTCAAGGATCAAGAGTTGGCTGCCGGGCACAGTGGCTCACACTTATCATCCCAGCACTTTGGGAGGCCGAGGTGGGTAGATCACGAGGTCAAGAGATTGAGACCAGCCTGGCCAACAAGGTGAAACCCCGTCTTTACTAAAAATACAAAAATTAGCCAGGCGTGGTGGCACGAGCCTATAGTCCCAGCTACTTGGGTGCCTGAGGCAGGAGAATCATTTGAACCTGGGAGGGGAGGTTGCAATGAGCCAAGATTGCGCCACGGCACTCCAGCCTGGCGATAGAGGGAGACTCTGTCTCAAAAAAAAAATAATAATAATATCAAGAGTCGGTGAGGATGTGGAGAAACTGGAGCCCTCCTACACTGCAGATGGGAATGTAATACGGTACGGCCACTTTGGAAAACACACTTTAGCATTTTCTTTAAAAGTTAAATGTCAACTTCCCATCAAATTTGGCAATTCCACTCTTCAGTATCTACCCAAAAGAAATAAAAGCACACGTCCACCACGACTGGAACGAGAATGTTCATCACAACGTTGTAAGCAGCTGACAAACTGGAAGGAGTTCATGTGGACGAATGGATGAAACCTGGATAATCCATGGGTTAACAGCAATAATGGCCAGGCGCAGTGGCTCACACCTGTAATCCTAGTACTTTGGGAGGCCAAGGGCAGTGGATCACCTGAGGTCAGGAGTTCAAGACCAGCCTGGCCAACATGGTGAAACCTCGTCTCTACTAAAAATACAAAAAATTATCCAGGCGTGGTGGCGGCGCCTGTAGTCCCAGCTACTCGGGAGGCTGAGGCAGGAGAATGGTGGGAACCCGGGAGGCGGAGCTTGCAGTGAGCCGAGATCACGCCACTGCACTCCAGCCTGGGCAACTGAGCGAGGCTCCGTCTCAAAACAAACAAACAAAAATTCCTAGCCCTTTGAAGGGCTTACAACTCTAAGGGGTCCACGTGAAAGGGTCGTGATAGATCGAGCAAGCGTGGGGAACATGACTGGGGGCTGTATGCATCAGCTAACAGAACAGAAAGTGGTGCAATGCTTCCTCATACAATGTCTGGAATTTACAGATAACACAAGTAGTTTAAGTCAGGGATCGATGTTACTATTTTCCTTTAACTACCAGGGCTGGGTGGTGGCGCCAGGCTGTCTGGCGATTTATTTTACTCTTGTTTCTTTTTAACTTTCTGCTTTCTTTTTCTCCTGTCTTATAAACTAGGCAAGGAGTGGGGGGCAGCAGGAGAAGTAGTGGTCTCCTTCCTGAGGATGTATGTGTCAGGTGTGTTTGTGAGGTGTGTTAGGTGTATGTGTGAGTGTCTGAGGTGTGTGTGAGGAGTGGTACGTGTGAGGTGTGTGTGGCGTGAGGCGTGTGTGTTCAGGTGTGTGTGGTGTTTCTGGGGTGTGTGTCTGGCATGTGTCAGATGTGTGGGGGTGTGTCTGGGGACGTGTGTAAGGTGTGTATGTCCGGGGTGTGTTTCAGGTGTGTGTGAGATGTGTGATGTGTGTATGGTGTGTGTGAGGTGCATGTGTCTGAGGGGTGTGTGGGGTGTGTATGGGTGGGGTGTGTGAGTTGTATGTGAAGGGGGCCTGCCCCTTGTATTTCTCATCAGGTGGAGACAAGAGACTGAGAAAAGAAATAAGACGCAAAGTACAGAGAAAGAACAGTGGGCCCAGGGGACCGGCACTCAGCATACGGAGGGCCTGCACCGGCGCTGGTCTCTGAGTTCCCTCAGTATTTATTGATTACTATTTTCACTATCTCAGCAAGGGGAGTGCAGCAGGAGAACAGGGTGATGGTGGGGAGAAGGTCAGCAGGAAAACATGTGAGCAAAGGAATCTGCGTCATAAATAAGTTCAAGGAAAGGTACTGTGCCCGGATGTGCACCTGGGCTAGATTTATGTTTCTCTTTACCCAAACATCTCAGTGTAGCAAAGAGTAACAAAGCAGTATCACTGCCAGCCTCTCAACTCCAGCCATAGGGCAGTTTTCTCCTGTCTCAGAATAAAATGAATGCTCAGCCTCACACCAAGACATTCCATTCCCAGGCACATGCAGGAAACAGAGGCCTTCCTCTTATCTCAACCCCAAAGAGGCCTTCCTCTTTTACTAATCCTCCTCAGCACAGACCCTTTACAGGCGTTGGGCTGGGGGACAGTAAGGTATTTCCCTGCCAACGAGGCCATATTTCAGGCTGTCTTAGTGAGGGGAAACCTTGGACAATATCCAGGCTTTCTTGGGCAGAGGTCCCTGTGGTTTTCCTCAGTGCATCGTGTTAATAGAGAATGGAGAATGGCAATGACTTTTACCAAGCATACTGCCTGCAAACATACTGTTAACAAGGCACATCCTGCACAGGCCTAAATCCCTTAAACCTTGATTCAACACAGCACGTTTCTGTGAGCACAGGGCTGGGGCTGAAGTTACAGGTTAAGAGCATCTCAAAGCAGAACAATTTTTCTTAGTAGAAATCAAAACGGAGTTTCTTCTGTCTTCCTTTTCTCCATAGACACAGTAACAGTCTGATCTCTCTTCCTTTCCCCCACAGTATGTGTTTCTGGTGTCTACTGTCAGGTGCGTGGGTGTGTCCGGGGTGTGTATTGGTGCGTCTCATATGTGTGAAATGTATGTGTGAAGGGTGTGTGTGAGGTGTCAGGTGTGTGGGTGTGTCTGGGTTGTGTGTGAGGTGTGTGTGTGTCAGGGTGTGTTTCAGGTGTGTGTGAGATGCATGTGTGATGTGCGTATGGTGTGTGTGTCTGGTGTGTCTAAGGGGTGTGTGTGTTGTGTGTTTGGGTGTGTGGTGTGTGTGAAACGTGTGTTTCCTGTGTGACTGGTGTCAGGTGTGTGTTTGGGTATGTGAGGTGTGTGTCTGGGGTGTGTGAGGTGTGTGTGTTTGGGTGTGTCTGGTGTGTGTGTTTGGGTGTGTCTGGTGTGTGTGAACTGTATGTGTCAAGGGCATGTGTGAGGTGTGAGTTGGGAGTGTGTTTCAGATGTGTGTGTAAGAGGTGTGTGTGATGTGTGTATGGTGTGTGTGTCTGGTGTGTCTGAGGGGTGTGTGGGGTGTGTGTGAAGTGTGTGTTTGGGTATGTCTGGTGTGTGAGGTGTGTATTTCTGGGGTGTGTGTCAGGTATGTGGAGTGTGGGTCAGGTGTGTGTATGTCAGGTGTGTGGTGTGTGGGTCAAGGGTGTGTGAGGTGTGTTTGGGTGTGTCTGGTGTGTGTTTCTGGGGTATGTGTCAGGTGGGCATCAGGTGTGTGGGGGGCATGTGTGGGTGTGTCAGCTGTTTAAGGTGTGTGTTTCTGGGGTATCAGGTGTGTGTGTGGTATATATGAGGTGTGTGTGTGGATGTGTCTGGTGTGTGAGGTGTGTTTCTGGGGTATGTGTCAGGTGTGTGTGTCTGGGGTGTGTGTGAGGTGTGTGTCTGGGTGTGAGGTGTGTGTTTAGATGTATTAGGTGTGTGTTTGAGGGGTGTGTTTCTGGGGAGGGTGTCAGGTGTGTGTGGGGTGTATGTGTGACAGGTGTGTGTTTGGGTGCGTCTGGTGTGTAGGGTGTGTGTCAGGCGTGGATGTGTCGGGTGTGTGTGTGTGAAGTGTGTGTTTGGACGTGTCTGGTGTTTGAAGTGTGTTTCTGGGGGTGTCAGGTGTGTGTGTCAGGTGTGAGGTGTGTGGATGTCTGGTGTTTGACGAGTTTCTGCGGGGTGTCAGGTGTGTGTGTGTGAGAGGTGTGTGTTTGGATGTATCTGGTGTTTGAGGTGTGTTTCTGGGGTGTGTGTGTCAGGTGTGTGGGGTGTGTGTCAAATGTGTGGGGTATCAGGTGTGTGTCAGGTGTGTGTGAGGTGTCAGGTATATGTTTCTGGGGGTGTGTGAGGTGTGTGTGTGTCAGGTGTGGGGTGTGTATCTGGGGTGTCAGGTGTGTGTGTCAGGTGTGTCTGGGGTGTGTGTCAGGTGTGTGTCGGGTATGTGTGAGGTGTGTGTTTGAATGTCTGGTGTTTGAAGTGTGTGATTCTGGGGGTGTGTCAGGTGTGTGTCTGGGGTGTGTGTGCCTGGGGTGTGTGTTTGGATGTGTCTGGTGTTTGAGGTGTGTGTCAGGTGTGTGTCAGATGTATCTGGTGTGTGGGGTGTCTGTGAGGTGTGTGGGATGCGTGTGAGGTGTGTGGGTGGATGTTTCTGGTGTTTGAGGTGTGGTTTCTGGGGGTGTGTCAGGTGTGTGTGTGAGGTGTGTGGTGAGGACCCGGCAGGGTCCGAGGGGCGCATGCGCGGCTCCCTAGCAGGGGCGGTGGGGGGGGTGGGGGGTGCAGGGCCAGAACCCAGGCCCCGCCTCCAGCCGCGTTTCCATGGCGACCGCAGCCTCCGTCTCGCCGCTGCAGCCCCCGCCCCGCCCGGCTGCGAAGCGTCTGGAACCGCATCCTCCGCATCCACATCCGCACCGTCGTCCTCCCCGACCGCGTCCTGCAGCAGCTGCCAGTGGAGCCGCCTGTGAGCTATTTCCACATTTCTCCTTGCAGAGTGGGGGCGGGGGGCCCGAGTGGGTGCGGGGGTGCGAGGCGCGTGTGCGGCAGTGTGCGAGGTGCGTGTGCTCGCAAGTGCGCTTGTGCGTGGCGCGCGTGCGGATGAGGGTGTGAGTGTGCGTGTGTGCGAGGCGCGTGTGCGGATGCGAGTGTGCAGGGCGCGCTGCACGGCCGGCCCCCTCCCGCGGGCCTCCTCTGGTTGTCCCAGGCCAGGCCGACCCCGCGGACCCGAGGCAGTGGTCTCCAGGCTTCCCGTGACGGCGGGGCCCCGGCACGAGGGTCGCAGCGTGCAGTTCAGGGTGTCTCCGAGGTGGGCAGGGGGTGCCAGTTCCAGCTCCTGCCCAGCTCTGTCTGCCGGGGGCGGGGTGGGGCGGGCGGCAGAAGGGGCGTCGGACCAGAGCACCGAGGAGCGGCTGCCCGCACGGTGGTGCGGGGTGGGGGGTGGTCTTGATGGGGGCGTCTGCGTGACAGGCAGGAAGCGGCCAGAAGGCCGGGAGGGGCGCGGCTCCGGAACCACCTGCAACAGGCGCGGGTGCGGGGCCACAGGTGGCTGGAGAGGGAGTGGAAGCGGAAGCAGCTGCGCGCCCACTCCCCTCCGCGGGGCTGCGCCGGCCCCGCAGTGCAGCTGCCTTTGAATCAGCCCGGCAGCCACGGCCGCCTGCAGCGCCAGGGGCAGGAGGCTGCGGTGGCGCCCGTGGGGGAGGGGCGGGACCCTCAGGGATCCGCAGTCACACGCTCTTGTGCCCCCCACATAAGCCCACCTGCGCGCACCCCCAGCGTGACGCAGCATTCCAGGTTGGGGGGCGCATGCGAAAGCGAGTCTGTGACGTGACCTCCAGCCGAGCTTCCGTGGACTTTCGACTGAGAGCCTGCACCCCCGCCCCCGCCATCCATCTGTCCATCCACACGGCCTCGCTCACCCGCGCCCCCACCCATCTGCCGTCAGCATCCCACGCCTCCCCTTGCCCCAGAGACAGGAGCTGGGCACTGCCTCCCTGCCAGAACGCGGCGGGTGGGGCGCAGGGGACCCGCAGAAGATGCCGCCACAGCGCAGGTGCAGGGAGGGGCCGGGAGGAGGAGCAGAGGCGGCCCCCTAGTTCCACGAGCCGCGTGCCTTCCGTGGGAGGAGGCCCCCATGACGCAGCAGTGCAAAGGGACGGTCTGGTGTGTGGGGTGGGAGGGTTGGACCCCACACACAGGCCAGTCCCCCGTTCCAACCCCGCATTCCGCCTGGGGCGCTGGGCCTGGAACCAGAAGCGAGGCTCCAGTGGGCCCCCAACGGCTTTTTCTTCCTGAAGACGCCTCTCGGCCTGTCTCCGTTGCCATGCACACCCGCGATGACGTAAAGTGGCCGTCCGAGGAGTTGGAGTTGAAGTTTGGCTCGAAGGGGACCCCAGAAGCGAAGCTCCTCCTGGCGGGGTCCTGACCCCTGGCGCCGGCCCCCCGGGGCGTGGCTCTACCCTGTGGCGCTGCGGCCGTGACTGCGCCCCCTCTCCGCCCCCCTCCGGTCTGTACAGAGGCTGGGCTTGCTCTGGGAGTCCGCTGCGGGGAGACCCCGACCCCTCCTCCTCGGTGGTACCCCCACCCCCGCGGGCCAAGCTCCACCTCAAGCCCCGGCGCTCGCCGCCCTCGCCCCACGACCACGTCATTCCCCGGCCTCTTGGCCCTCGGCTGCTCCAACTCCGCTTCCATGGATCACTTCTGTATTTAAGCCCCGTAGGGCCTCGTCCGTCTCCACCTGCGCACACACGGACGCTGGCTGCACCGTGAAACCTCGTCTGCCGAGTGCCCATTGCCCCTGCCTGGGCCACGTGGGGACCCACCTCAGGCAGAGTCTCCAGCCCAGGGTGGGTGTTCGGGGGACCCTGCACGGCCTCTTCCGGAAAGGCCCGGCCGGGCACAGGGTCGCCTGTGATGAACGCCCAGCAAGGGGCACGGGTTAGGGCCCCAGAGCGCGTGGTCAGGTCCAGGACTGGGGACCCTGTCTCCGCTCATCCAGCTCCTTCCGGCTCAGAGTGGCCTCCCCCATCTCCTATCCAGCCCTCACTTTCCAGCCTCACTCCCGCCCACGCAGATCCTTTCCCCCTCTGGTCCTTCCTCCTCAGTTCTTTCCACACGCAGAATCTGCCACCTCCAAATCCTTCCCCCTCTGATCCTTCCCCTTCAGATCCTTCCCCCCTCATATCCTTCCCCCTCATATCCTTCCCTCCTCAGATCCTTTCCCCCCTCATGCCCTTCCCCCCCATGCCCTTCCCCCCCATGCCCTTCCCCTTCAGATCCTTCCCCCTCAGATCCTTCCCCTTCAGATCCTTCCCCCCTCATATCCTTCCCCCTCATATCCTTCCCCCTCAGATCCTTTTCCCCCTCAGATCCTTCCCCCCTCAGATCCTTTCCCCTCATGCCCTTCCCCCCCATGCCCTTCCCCTTCAGATCCTTCCCCCTCAGATCCTTTCCCCCCTCAGATCCTTTCCCCTCATGCCCTTCCCCCCCATGCCCTTCCCCTTCAGATCCTTCCCCCTCAGATCTTTCCCCTTCAGGCCCTGCCCCTCAGATCCTTCCCCTTCAGATCCTTCCCCCTCCGATCCTTCAGAGCTTTCACCTTCAGAGCCTGCCCGCCTCAGATCCTTCCCCACTCTGATCATTCCGCTTTCAGATCCTTCCCTCTCAGGTCTTTCCACACCTCTCAGATTCTTTCACCCTCAGGTCTTTCCCCCTGAGACCCTTCCCCTTCATATCCTTCCCGCCTCAGAGCCTTCCACTCAGATCATTCCGCCCTCAGGTCCTTGCTTATCAGAGCCTTTCCCATCACATCCATCCACCTTCAGATTCTTCCCCAGGCGAAAGTTGCCACCTTCTAACCTTTTTGCCCTCGGGTCCTTCCCCCTCAGATCTTTCCACTCTCAGATCCTTCGCCCTTAGACCCTTCCCCCTTAGGTCCTTCCCCTTCATATCCTTTCCCGCTCAGAACTTTCCACTCACGGATCATTCCGCCCTCAGATTTTCCCCCCTCAGATCCTTTCCCCCTCAGATCCTTCCCCGTTCAGATTTTTCTGCCCACAGAGCTTTCCCGCCTCAGAGCCTTCCACTCTCACATCTTTCCCCCTCAGAGTCTTCTCCCTTCAGAACCTTCCCTCTCAGATACTTCCGCTCTCCGATCCTTCCCACCTGGGATCCTACCCACTTGGATCCTTCCGCCAGGCTGATTCTTCCCGCTCAGATCCTTCCACCCTCGGATCCTTCCCCCTGCGTCGGCTCCTTGCCCCCTCGGGTCCCTCCCCCACCCCGTTGGGGTCCCTCCCCTCTCAGATTCTTCCACCCTCGACTCCCTCCGCTCCACCCCACCCCCACCCGCGCAATCCTCCCTCGTTGGATCCCTCTGCCCTTGGATCCTTCCCCCCCTCCCCGCAATCCTTCATCCTTCCCCTTCTGATCCTTCCACCTTGCAATCATTCCACCCTCAGCTCCTTCCACCCTTAGATTCTTCTCCACGCAGATGCCTCCACATTATCTCTACTTGAGTGGCAGCAGCTGGGCAGAAGCTCTGTGACCGCGGGTCCCCTGCTCCTGTTCCCCTGGCGCCTTCCCACACCTGGAACCCGAAGCGGAGCCTGGCCACTGCAGGGCGAGAAAGAGTGGTCATTGCTGGCTCTGGCAGTTAACTGGACATCCTAGCGCTGCTGTCACAAATTACAAGCGGGTGGCTTAAAATAAATTCTTTCGCAGTTCTGAAGTCAAGAAGTCCAAAATGAAGGTGTTCGCGGGGCCATGCTCCCTCCAAGCCTCTAGGGGAGCTTCTTCCTCGCTTCCTCCAGCTTCTGGTGGCCCAAGCAATCCTTGGGTTTCAGCTGCATCATTCCAGTCTCTGCTCCGTCTGCTCCGTCTCCTACATCTAATTTCCCTGTAATAAAGATACCAGTTTTGGATCAAGGCCCACCCTGATTCAGGACGAATTTATTTTAGCTTGATTACATCTGCAAAGACCATATTTTCAAATGAGGTCCCATTCAAAGGCACCCCTCACACAGATCCTAGGACTTGGATGTATTTTTGAGGGAACATCATTCAACCCACAATGTACCCTCCTCATTTGTGGGTTGCAACTGTCTTCTCCCAGTATTGGTTTTTTCCTACCATTTTTTGAAGGCTGTTTTGATAAGCAGAAGTTCATAGTTTTAATGAAGTCATTTTATCAATATTTCCTTTTGTTGTTAGTACCTATTGTCCTAATGAAAAAATTTTTCCCTCCCTGAGATCAGAAAAATCTTCTCCTGTATTATCTTTGAGGTGCTTTATTGTTTTGCTTTTCCAGTTCAGGTTTATCCACCTGGAGTAGACTTCTCTGTGTAATGTGAGGTAGGGATCAGGCTCACTGCTTTTGATGCAGACAGAGGTTTACTGAGAGGCAGCTATGCTGCAAATCAGGGTCCGTGTGTGCAAAGTGTGTCATGTGGGACTTCTTCCACCACACAGTAGCCCCACACCACTCCATTTCCAATGCTGTGCAATAAGCCAGACCCTGGCAGATGAGATCTCCTCCATGTTTTTTTGTTTTTGTTTTTGTTTTTTTGGGTTTTTTTTTTTTAATGGAGTTTTGCTCTTGTTGCCCAGGCTGGAGTGCAGTGGCACAATCTCGGTTCACTGCAACCTCTGCCTGCCAGGTTCAAGCGATTCTCCTGCCTCAGCCTCCCGAGTAGCTGGGATTATAGGCGTGTGCCACCATGCCTGGCTAATTTTTGTATTTTTAGTCAAGACCGGGTTTCACTATGTTGGCCAGGTTGGTCTCAAACTCCTGATCTTGTGATCCACCCACCTCTGCCTCCCAAAATGCTGGGATTACAGGTGTGAGCCACTATGCCTGGCAGTCCATGTTATTTTCCAAGATACTTGGTGTGTTCCTGCCCCTCTGCCTTCCATGTAAAATGACAGTGCTTGTCAAGTTCATTTAAAAAACTGTTGGGATTTTGATTAAGATTTACTGCATCTACAGATTGGGGGGTAGGTAATTTGTTTAAACATGGAAACTCCCCAAATCCATAGACACAGCCTTCCCCATTTACTTGGGGGATTTAGCTTTTCTTGGTCTCTGTCGACAATGTTCCCTGGTTTCCATGTGGAGGCCCTGCCCTGTCCCTGTTCCTCAGCTCTTTTTACACCTATTCCTGAGGATTTGATAGTTTTGATATTATTTAAATGGAGTACTTCAATAAATTATGTATTTATTTATTTTTGCCACTGACATATAGGAATGTAACTGATTTCTGAATACCTTAAATCCAACAGCCTTGCCAAACTCACTTTTTGATCCTTATGATTTATCTATAGATTCTTCTGGGGTTTCTTTTTTTTTTTTTTTTTTTTGAGACGGAGTCTCGCTGTGTCGCCCAGGCTGGAGTGCAGTGGCCGGATCTCAGCTCACTGCAAGCTCTGCCTCCCGGGTTTTTACGCCATTCTCCTGCCTCAGCCTCCCGAGTAGCTGGGACTACAGGCGCCCGCCACCTCGCCCGGCTAGTTTTTTGTATTTTTTAGTAGAGACGGGGTTTCACCGTGTTAGCCAGGATGGTCTCGAACTCCTGACCTCGTGATCCGCCCGTCTCGGCCTCCCAAAGTGCTGGGATTACAGGCTTGAGCCACCGCGCCCGGCCTCTTCTGGGGTTTCTAAACACAGAAAGTGTTTCATGGGTGAATAATCAGAGTATTATTTATTCTTGCCTGGCACTAGAGCTCATTTCTTTGTCCTACCCTACAGCATTGGCTGAGACCTCTAGCGCCATAACTTGTAGAACCGCAGATCAAGGCGCTTTCAGGATTCACATTCAGTGAGGTTTGCTGTGGGGATTTTGTGGTTCACTGTTACTGGGTTACAGCACTCGCCTCCTGCCTTAGTGTGCTAATGGGTCCGAGGAATAGTAAATGAGCCCTGAGTCTTACCCAGAGTTACTTCTACTCCTCTAGCAATTGATCAGATACGCTTTTTCATTGTTCTGTTAATACGGTGAAAAATACGATTGCTTGCCAAATGTTAAGCCAAACTTCATTTCCAGAATACACCCAACCTGTCATATGTTACCTTGTTGTATTCGCTGGACTCACCCTGCTTGAGCTTTGGGGCTTCGCAGTGGTGTGTGCGTGTGGAGGAGGCTGGCCTGTGAGCTCCTCTCCGATGCTGTCCTTGCTGGGTTAGGGGACTGAGGCTAGTTGGCCTCAGGAGCTGGTGAGTGCTCCCTTGTCTTTCTGGAAGTTTTGTGGACATTTGCATTACTTTCCCTGTAAATGGTTGGTAGAATGCTGTGGTGATGCTGTCTGCGCTTGGAGTTCTTTGTGAGAAGGTTGCAATGGCAGATTCTTTCTTCTTCTTCTTCTTCTTTTTTTTTTTTTTGAGGCGGAGTCTCATTCTGTCACTCACGTTGGAGTGCAGTGGCGCGATCTCGGCTCATTGCAACCTCTGCCTCCCGGGTTCAGGCGATTCTCCCGCCTCAGCCTCCCGAGTAGCTGGGACCCCAGGTGCCACCATCGCGCCGGGCCACAGGTTCCGTTTCTACTGCACACAGGACCTTTCTTTTTTTCCTTTGATTGATTGAATACATTTTGTTTTTCTGCTTTTTCCATTGATCAGCTCGGAGGTCATCCGCTGCATTCTTTTTCTCTAGGAGGTCCGCCTGAAGGCGAAGCCGAGCACCCTCGGCCTCTCCGGGGTTGGTGGGGCCCCGCTGTGGTGTTCAGCTCCGCAGGGGCCCCGCTCCCCGCGGCCTTCAGCGCCGGGCTCGCAGCTGGGCTGACTCGCGGGTGCCCTCTTGTGGCCGCTCTGTCTCACTTCCTGCGTCTCCGGCAGAGTCGCCGGACAGAACGAGGACTGACTGCAGGATAAGCACGTCCCATGAGGCTTATTGCGAGGGATGCTCTTATATTAAAAATGGGCTCGTTGCTTATCTGAAATTCAAATTTAGCTGGGTCTCCAGCATTTTTATGTGCTGAGTCTGGCACCCAACTCTCCAGACTGATGTCCAGGATTGTCGGCTTTAAGAGGTTGTCTAGAGTCAGGCGCGGTGGCTCATTCCTGTAATCCCAGCACTGTGGGAGGCTGAGGCAAGCAGATGGCTTGAGACCAGCCTGGGCAATCTGGCGAAACCCTGTCTCTACAAAACATGTAAAAATTAGCCAGGCGTGGTGGGGTGCGCCTGTGGTCCCAGGTACTCGGGAGGCTGAGATGGCAGGATTGCTTAAGCCCAGTAGGCAGAGGCTGCAGTGAGCCAAGATCACACCACTGCACTCCCACCTGGGCCACAAAACAAGATCCTATCTCAAAAAAAAAAAAGAAAAAAGAAGAAGAAGAAGAAGGAAAAAGAGGAGATTGTCTTGTCTAGAGCAGCCGCTGGTGGAAGACTCCCCCGGCTTCATGGACAGTCACTGGTTGGGGTGCTTTCCCCTGCAGTGCTGTGGGGTCCAGAGGGGCTGTGGGGGTCAAGAAGGTACAGTACCCAGCATCTGGCTGGATTTGACCGGTTTGCCCAAGGAGGCTGGCCTGACCACTTACAGCCTGTCCCTGGTTCTGGTGTGAGGAGCATTAGGACCAGCTCAGGGTCCTCTGGCTTTAGAGCCAGCTGGCATGGGTGTCCAGGGGGCAGCCTGTGGGCAGTGACCCTGTCTGTCTCTGGACAGGACAAGCACTGCCATCCACCATGGTGAAGCTGGGCTGCAGCTTCTCTGGGAAGCCAGGTAAAGACCCTGGGGACCAGGATGGGGCTGCCATGGACAGTGTGCCTCTGATCAGCCCCTTGGACGTCAGCCAGCTCCAGCCGCCGCTCCCTGACCAGGTGAGGGCCTGGGCCAGCGTGGAGTCCCTTCTCAGGCTCCCCTGGGAACAAAGGGGTGTGGGGTGAGGTTTGTCTAGATGTGGCCTCTTCCCAGGTGCAGTAGAGCAAGCAGAAGAAGGACCGTGGGGACCAAAACCCCAGTTGGCCATGGGCACTCTATGTGACCTCCTGGTCAGCTCCCCCATATGCCAGAGCTGGGCAAACTGGCCGACGGGTAACCAAGAATTCACGCACTGACTCCTAGACAGCAGCCCGCCCACCTGCTGTCCATAGGGCACCCAGCAGGCAACGCTTCCCACCCTTCCCTCGGGGCATGGCCCTGTCCTGGGTTGAGCCTGAGATATGGAGGTCCTTGGGCAAGTGACCACTGGGGGTGCTTATAGCAGAAACTGGGGAGAAGCAAAGAGCTCAGTTCTAGCCCAATCCAGTTTGACCCCCTAGGGAGTTGTGCAGCATGGAAGGCACCCTGAGTTGTCCCTGCTGGAGGTGGGGGCAGCATCTATGCTGGGGACCCAGGACAGGAGGACCACCCCTGCTGGCCAAGGGCAATTCTCCAGCACCCTGAATTGAAGGCAGCAGGCAAAGCGAGGGGCTCCGTCAGCAACCAGGCCAAGCCCAGGACTGCCATGCGCCCAGCAGACTTTCAGTGTCCACCTTCCCTTGGCCTAACTTTGTGGCTGCTGGAGCCCTGCCATCCACCAGACGGTCCTGGGAGATGGTCAGGGTCAACACCACTGCCACGAAGCTGACCCTGGCTCCCTCCCCTCTCAGTTCAGGGCTCTCTTGGGTCCCTCCCAGCTGCCCACTGAGGCCATGGCCATCTCTTTTCACAGGTGGTCATCAAGACGCAGACAGAATACCAGCTGTCCTCCTTAGACCAGCAGAAGAAGTTCCCTGACCTGGAGGGCCAGAGGCTGAACTGCAGCCACCCAGAGGAAGGACGCAGGGTAACCACACTCACCCCACCCACTGTGGGGACTCAGGGCAGGGGGAGAAGGTGGAAGGCAGCTGGGGGTGCCTGGGCTCAGGCCAGGCCGGGCTGGAGTCCCCTTGCTGTCTGGGAGGAGAGGGTGGCGGTGAGACACCCCACCCAGAGCTGGCCTCCAACTGCCCTGCAGTCATCAGGCCCCCTGGCGAGGCTGCAGGTGCGGACTGACCAAACGGTAGTGCTCCTGAGATGTTTCTCTTCCTGGGAAGCGCTGGCCAGTGCTGCTTGCCTGTTTGCCCAGAGGGTCATTGTCTCATCTTCAGTGACTTACGGGCTTTCTATGTAATACTTTCTTTCTGCAGTATATCTGGCAAATATCTTCTCTCATCCTCTTGTTTAAATCTCTCAACGTATTAAGATAGCTTTAGTCATTTTTAGTGGACTGTTTCCAAAGCCTTCCATTCTCCAGTAGTAAGATCTGCTAGGGCTCCCCGCCCCTGGCTTCACGTTCCAGTCTGCAGCTCATGTTACAGCACCCACTGTGGGCAGTCCCCTGGGAGGCCTGGTGAGTGCAGCCTCCGACTCACCTGAGGCTGTGGCCCCCATCCCCTGTGGAGCCCACAGCGAAGGGAAGCTGCAAATTTCCACAAGACCCACCTGGGTCAAAGGCCACATCACTTTACCTGGTGGCAGATGTCTCCAGAACCCCAGTGGAGGGGCCGCCAGCAAGGCCTGGCCCCCAGGGGTGATGCCAGCACACTTGACCCTCGGAAAAGTGGGAAAAGCCACTGGCTGCCCAGGGCGGGGGGTGGGGTATCAAGACTGGAGGGCGGGGATGGTCCTGTGCCAGCACCAGCCCCTGAGGAGCTCCCCACAAAGGCGACCCCTGCCTGGCGTGGCTGAGCCCCTCTCTGCCCTCCTGCCAGCTGCCCACCGCGCGGATGATCGCCTTCGCCATGGCGCTGCTGGGCTGCGTGCTGATCATGTACAAGGCCATCTGGTACGATCAGTTCACCTGCCCCGATGGCTTCCTGCTGCGGGTAAGGGGGCCAGGGCTCTGGTGGGGGGCGGTGGAGCGGCGCCTCCTCCCATAGCCTCCAGGCAGGGGGTGGTAGGGGTGTCCGCTGCTGCTGGGGGAAAGTGGTCTCCAAAGCCATGTTCCCGTTATTTCTCTAGAACATGAAAGTCTATCTTTTGAAAATTTAAAAGAAAAGATGTGTTAGTGATGGGTTTCTCTTCTTGTAATTTAAAAAATAAGTAAAAGACGAGGCAGAAAAGGTCGCCCTCCAGCCATCTCTCTAGGGGTCATCTGTCCTCCTGAGTGACTTGTGCGAGGTTTTATTTTCATATAACATGATATTAATGCTCCCTACATATTTGGCAAATATTTTCTTCCATCCTTTTTTTTTTAAATCTCTTTGCCAATAATAGTTATAGCATTTAGTGTGTTTTTAGAAAGCCTTTTATTCATCATAAGTAAAATCTGCTCCTTTTCTCATAACTCCATGGTTTATGCTCTGGAGCGCGCTCGCAGAGGCCTTGCTGGGCTGAGCAGGTCCACTGGTGTCTGCGCCCCTCTCCCTGGGTGGCCCCCTCCCCTTACAACCCGCGACCTCCTGGCTCCGTGCCCCCCCCACCCAGGGCCCTGAGTTCTGAACCGGAGGCTGACCTTCGGTGTCCTGAAACCATGGCTCCGTTACAAACTGTCCGCAGTGCCCCCAACCGCAGAAGCGGGAGGGCCCGGGCCCGGGGCGCACAGGAGGGCTCAGCCCGCCGGCCCTGACCCGGCCCCTCCCGCAGCACAAGATCTGCACGCCGCTGACCCTGGAGATGTACTACACGGAGATGGACCCCGAGCGCCACCGCAGCATCCTGGCGGCCATCGGGGCCTACCCGCTGAGCCGCAAGCACGGCACGGAGACGCCGGCGGCCTGGGGGGACGGCTACCGCGCCGCCAAGGAGGAGCGCAAGGGGCCCACCCAGGCTGGGGCGGCGGCGGCCGCCACCGAACCCCCCGGGAAGCCGTCGGCCAAGGCGGAGAAGGAGGCGGCGCGGAAGGCGGCCGGGAGCGCGGCGCCCCCGCCCGTGCAGTGATGGTCTCCGGCCCCGCAGCCCGGTCCGGGGTAGGTGCGCGCCGCGGGGCCCCGCCGGCTCTGCCCGGGTCTCTTCCTGGCCTCCCGCCACCGCTTCTGAGCCAGAGACCCCGGCCACCCCCCTCTTCCTCTTCCCTCCGACCCGGCCCGCCAGAACCTCGGGAGTGGGGGGTGTGAATCCGAGCCCGCCGTGGGGCGCGGTGTCCGTGGGGAGCCCCCGGCCGCGTCGCCGCTCTCAACCCTCGGGCTCTGTCTCCGCAGCGTCCCCCGCCAGCTCCTGTAACCAGCGCGTCGCCCGATGCTCTCCGCCGTGTTCGTGTCTCGCCCCCAGGCGCCCTCGCTGCAGCCCTGCCCCCGTGGGTCTCTGACTCTGTCGCTTTTCTCTAAGTAAAGATTTCACGTTCACCGGAGTCTTCCATCTCTCCTGCGCGTCCTCTGCCCGGCTGGCCTTTCTCCCGCCCCCCACCCTGCCAGCTGTGAGTGAGGCCGGCATTGTGCTCCCCCCAGGGACCCCCGAAGGACCCAGGAGAGATTCCGTGGGGGCAGCTCCCGGGAAGCCGTAGCGCGCCCAGGCGTCACGCGCATCCTCGCGCTGGGTGGTCCCGGCCTTGTCCAAGCCCCACCGGGATATGCCTTAATGGCGGGGCTCCGGCCCACCCAGGGGAGCCTCGGGTCCATCCCTAACCGCTGCCCAGCCCCTTGTCCTGCTGGTTCCACCCCCACCATCTACCTGGTGCTGGGCCTGGGTCCCGGGCATCCCCCCTCTGACAGGAGTGTCTGCCTCCCCGCTGACCCCTGGTTCTGGGCGGCACCCATGAGCAGCTTCTGCCTCCTAGATGTGCGGCCCACAGGCATAAATGACCAAGTGAAGAAAGAAGTGAATGGGGGCGTCTGAGTGGGGAGTGGCGCCTGAGGAGGGGTGAGCTCTGGCTCCTGGGGTCTGGGTTCTCCCGTGTCCCTGGAGCCAGATGAAAGATGGTAAGGCTGAAGGGCCAGGGGAGCCTAGAGCTGCTGAGTCCCCCCCCAAGCATCCCCACCTCAGCCCCAGCCAACTCCCGGCACTGAACACTACAGGGAATGGACTCTGGCAAATCTCACCCACCGCCTGCACCACCCCAACCAGCTGCAGCTCTGCAGCGCCGCCCACCCAAACACCTGTCCTCCTCGGATCCCTTTCACGTGGGGCCCAGACGCCCCACCTGGTGGGAGGGGAGTTCGGGCCTTGGGACTAAGGGCTTGCGGCTGAGAGACAGCAACAGAGCCTAGACGGTCCCGCCAGCCACTGGAAGCAGCTTCAGGCAGGAGGGGCCGGCATTTCCTGCACTGCGTGGTGGAGGGTGGGGGCCTCATACACAGGTGGGATCCCTTTGGGAAGCCCCGCCTTGATCTCAACATGGAGCCCAGTGACTTGGAGAACAGCCCAGAGCAGCCTCTACGGCATCAAGGGAGCTGCCAGAGCCAGCGCCAGTGGATCTAACCTGTTCCTGGGCACTGGGCTAGGGGACTGGATGGTCACTGGAGTCCTGGTTGTGAACACAGGGCTGGATGCTCAGACCAAGAGTGGATGGAAGACCCCCACCATTGGCTCCCAGGCCTGCTGGCAAGGTGGGGGTCTAGGCAGCTTCCCAGCTCCGTGGGACTGGCCTGCTTTGGAACAGTGGGCAGTGCCCAGGAAGCCTGTGAACTGCGCCTGCCAGGGAAGCCGTGGTGAACTGGAGGCCAGCCAGGTGGGGTCAGGGAAGGCAGGGCTGTGCACACCACACCCTTCACTGCTGGGCTTCTAAGGGCATTGAACAGGCACACGCAGAACTGAGTTGGCCCTAATGGCCTGCAAGGGAGGAAGGTGGGGGACCTGGGACCTCAGCTGGGATATATGAGGGCAGGGAGTCTCTGCATGGCTGATGTTTGAATTAAAATACAGCTTTTTCCCTATATTTTATTATTTTTATTTTTATTTTATTTCATTTTATTTTTTGAGACAGAATCTTGCTCTGTCGCCCAGGCTGGAGTGCAGTGGCGCGATCTCCGTTCACTGCAAGCTCCGCCTCCTGGGTTCACGCCATTCTCCTGCCTCAGCCTCCCGAGTAGCTGGAATTACAGGCGCCCGCCACCTTGCCCGGCTAATTTTTTTGTATTTTTAGTAGAGATTGGGTTTCACTGTGTTAGCCAGGATGGTCTTGAACTCCTGACTTCGTGATCCACCCGCCTCGGCCTCCCAAAGTGCTGGGATTACAGGCGTGAGCCATTGCACCTGGCCATGCCAGACTCTTTATAACAATCAGTTCTCAGCTAGACGCAAGCAATGGCTCATGCCTGTAATCCCAGCACTGTGGGAGGCCGAGGTGGGCGGATCACTGTAGGATCCAGCCCTACGGGGCTTAGCAGGTGTTCTCCCCGCCTGTGGAGATGAGAGATTGTAAGAAATAAAGACACAAGACAAAGAGATAAAGAGAAAGAGCTGGGCCTGGGGGACCACTACCACCAAGACGTGGAGACTGGTAGTGGCCCTGAACGGCCGGGCACGCTGATATTTATTGCATACAAGACAAAGGGGCAGGGTAAGGAGGGTGGATCTTCTAAGTGATTGACAAGGTGAAACAAGTCACGTGATCACAGGACACAGGGCCCTTCCCTCTTAGGTAGCCGAAGTAGAGAGGGAGGGCAGCATATGTCAGCGTTTTCTTCTATGCACTTATAGGAAAGATAAGACTTTAAGACTTTTACTATTTCTTCTACCTCTGTCTTCTACGAACTTCAAAGAGGAACCAGGAGTACGGGAGGAACATGAAGGTGGACAAGGAGCGTGACGGTTGAAGCACAGCACCACAGGGAGGGGTTTAGGCCGCCAGATGACCGCGGGCAGGCCTGGATAATATCCAGCCTTCCACAAGAAGCTGCTGGAGCAGAGTGTTCCCTGACTCCTCCAAGGAAAGGAGACTCCCTTTCGCGGTCTGCTAAGTAACGGGTGCCTTCCCAGACACTGGTGTTACCACCTGACCAAGGAGTCCTCAAGCAGCCCTTATGCGGGCGTGACAGAGGGTTCACCTCTTGTCTTCTTCGTCACTTCTCACAGTGTCCCTTCAGCACCTGACCTTATGCCCACTGGTTATTCCTAGGTTATATTAGTAATACAACAAAGAGTAATATTAAAAGCTAATGTTTATACGAATGATTGATAATGTCCACGATCATCTCTATATCTAATTTGTATTATAACTATTCTTATTCTAACTACTTCCTTTATTATACTGAAACAGTTTGTGTCTTCAGTCTCTTGCCTTGGCACCTGGGTAATCCTTTACCCACAGATCACAAGGTCAGTAGATCGAGACCATCCTGGCTAACACAGTGAAACCCCCTTTCTACTAAAAAAAAAAAAAAAAAAAAAATTATCTGGTGTGGTGGCGGGCGCCTATAGTCCCAGCTACTTAGGAGGCTGAGGCAGGAGAATGGCGTGAACCTGGGAGGCGGAGCTTGCAGTGAGCCAAGATGACACCGCTGTACTCCAGCCTAGGCGACAGAGCAAAACTCCGTCAAAAAAAAAAATCAATTATCGGGTCAGGTGCTGTGGTTCACACCTGTAATCCCAGCACTTTGGTTGGCCAAGGTGGGTGGATCACAAGGTCAGGTGATCAAGATCATCCTCACTAGCACGGTGAAACGCGGTTGAGAGATGAAGCCAGCTGGATTTCCTGGGTCAAGTGGGTACTTGGAGAACTTTTCTGTCTTACAAGAGGATTATAAAATGCACCAATTAGCACTCTGTAGCTAGCTAGAGGTTTGTAAAATGCACAAATCAGTGCTCTGTAAAAACACACCAATCAGCGCTCTGTAGCTGGCTAGAGGTTTGTAAAATGCACCAATCAGTGCACTGTAAAAACACACCAATCAGCACTCTGTAGCTAGCTAGAGGTTTGTAAAATGGACCAATCAGCACTCTGTAAAATGGACCAATCAGCAGGACATGGGCAGGGACAAAGAAGGGAATAAAAGCTGGCCACCACCCCCCATATCCCCCAGCCAGCAGGGGCAACCTGTTCGGGTCCCCTTCCACAATGTGGAAGCTTTGTTCTTTGACACTTCACAATAGATCTTGCTGCTATATATGCTTTGGGTCCGTGCCACCTTTAAGAGCTGTAACACTCACTGCGAAGGTCTACAGCTTCATTCTTGAAGTCAGCGAGACCACAAACCCACCAGAAGGAACCAACTCCAGACACACTACACACCGTCTCTACTAAAAATACAAAAAATTATCTGCACGTTGTGCTGGGCGCCTGTAGTCCCAGCTACTCAGGAGGCTGAGGCAGGAGAATAGTGTGAACCTGGGAGGTGGAGCTTGCAGTGAGCCAAGATTGCACCGCTCACTCCAACCTGGGCAACAGAGCAAGACTCAAAAGAAAAAAAAAAATTCCTCACAGTAAGTAATCAAGCAAGAACTCACTCATTACCTTGAGAGTGGCATCAACCCATTCATATCTGCCCCATGACCCAAACACCTCCCATCCAGGCCCCACCTTGAACGCTGGGGGTCAAATGTTAACATCCAAACTCCAGCATCTGGCATTCCACCCCATCCGCTCTATCACACTCCACCACCTCGTCTCTCTACCTACCAGCCTATCAATTATCTGCCACCTATTGTCTATGGCCTATTATCTATCATCGATCACCTATTGTCTATCACCTATTATCCTCTATCGTCTATCACCTACCGTCTATTACCTATCATCTATCAATAATCTGTCTTCTCTTTAGCTGCTACCTACCTAACGTTTTTTCTGAGCCAATGAGTGAATGGGGCATCTGAGTGGGGAGTGGGGAGTGGGGTCTGAGGAGGGGTAAGATCTGCCCCAGGGACGGGCATCTCCCATTCCCCTGGAGCCAGATGGGAGCTGAGAAGGGCCCAGGGGCTCCTGGAGCTGCCGTAAGTCCCATCCTCCCCACCCGGCCTGGCAACTCCTTGCACTCAGAGGAAGTGACCTCTTTATCCTTAAATACTTCAGTGTGGATTCCCCGCAAACAAGGGCGTTTTCTTACGTAAGCTTCATGCAATGATCGAAATCAGGAATTTAGGTTTCCAGATCCACACAACCCACATGAGAGCCAACAGGGTGGGGGTGGAGGGACTTCTGGCTTCCCTGTGTGCGAGCATGGATGCACGTACAGAGAGGGGGGGCATGGATTGTGTGTGTGAGTGTGTGTGAGTATGAGCACAGACGCACAGAGAGGAGGGAGTGTGGATTATGTGTGTGTGAGCGTGTGAGCACGGACAGAGGAGAGGGTGTGCATTGTGTGTTAGCGTTAGTGTGAGCATGTGTGTGAGCACAGATGCACAGAGAGGGGGTGTGGATTGTGTGTGTGTGTGAAAGTGTT